CCTGAAGCAAGCATGTGGCAGGGGGAAGGAGCTAGAATTGATGGGAGCAGCTATTCTTGATTCATCCAGCAACTGAATCATTGTTAACCCCACCTTCAGGCTGCTTTTTGAATACAGGTGCTGGCTTGGGGAAGGGGCTGGGGTTCCTGCAGGGCAAAGTCCTAGAAGCAACAGTCCCTGAAAATTGGACCTGTCTTTGCCACACTGTAGGATCACAGAGGCTCTCCAGGCCAGCCAGCTCTTCTCTGCCATTCTCTGAGCCTGAAGTTAAGATGAGAAGTTTCTATGAGCTTCCAAAGGAACTTTCCATGAACTGGAGTTTTTCTCCTCCTCTTGCTACTGTGGCCTATTCAGGTACTGGGGTGCCCCCAACCAGGAAACCTCTTCACAGTCACACAACAATGAGAAGAAGGGCTATTATTTAATACATGGTGAGACATTAGCAGGAGTCTAGGTATCGGTGATGGACGTTGGACCAGATCAGTGGTTTCTTAATTCATACTGGCCGGGCAGTCACACAACAATGAGAAGAAGGGCTATTATTTAATACATGGTGAGACATTAGCAGGAGTGTAGGTATCGGTGATGGACGTTGGACCAGATCAGTGGTTTCTTAATTCATACTGGCCGGGCATATATTCCTAGGCCCTAATCTAGGTCTAGTGAATCAGAATGTCCAGGAGTGGAGGCCAAGTAACCTCTCCTCTCTCTCTCCTTTTCTTTAAAGCTCCCTTGTGAGCACACAGACAAGAGTGAGAACCACTGAATTAGGTCACCTTAAGGATTCCGTTCAATACTGCGGTCCCAGCCTGTGTTTTAATTGCGAAAGGCATCAACCTACCTCAGGACTATACTGTTCACAGCATATAATAATACACCCATATAGTTTAAGGAATTAAAGAGACAAGCACACAACAACAAAGGCCTTATAAAACAGTAAAAGAAAATGAAATTGCAGGTTTATCTTTTCTGCAGAGGGAAGATACATTTCTAACTATTGAAAAAAAGATCAGAGAAGATAAGGATAATCTGAATACACACATGAAAGTTTAAAAAACACTTTGTTGGACAAAATGTAATGAAACACAAAAAGGGAAGTGAGAAAATGGGAATGTGACAAACATACATGATAAAAGCTTACCATCTAAAGAAACGAAATATTAATTTTATTAGGGTATATTTTCAAAATAGGATCATGGGGTCCAAAGGTTTACATACATTTAGGACATACATTTGTAACTTCCTGCTAGAGTGCTTTACAAAAAGACTAAACCAATTCACACGACCATCAACAATGTACCTGTTTCTCCACAGTGGTATCCAATTTAGGTTTTATCACTGCTTGTTTTCTGGCTTAACAGGCACGTGGTACATTAAAGTTAATTACTTTTCCTCTCATTGATAGCAAGATTTTGTATTTTTCCATGTGATGACTTTCTCCTATGTTAACAATTAATATCTCTTCAAAAGGAATTTTAGTGGACTACACCACGAAGAAAAAAATATATATATTTTTTGGTGGGTGGCCACTATGGGGATCTGAACCCATGCCCTTGGTGTTATAAGGCTGAGCTCTAACCAACTGAGCTAACCAGCTGGCCCAAGAAAAAAAATTTTTGAGGACCAACACAGACATTCAAAGCAGCAGTTTATGAAAATGAAAAACCAGACCATTTGACAATGGCCACAACCAGAAGCAAGTGTGTAAATTTATGTCAACAAAGGAAATGGGCATATAAAATAATATGGTGGTAAGTTTCATACTACATTATCTACCCTTGGAGGCCCCAACTATAAAAATATGTGTGACAAGGTCTGGATAGTAATTTAGAGTGACACAAATCACTAGATTTTTTTTTCATCCTGAAAAAGTTTTCTATTACTTAGTTTTGTTTTCTTTTAATAAGAGGAAACCCTTCTTAATATTGTATACCTAGAAAAGTCCCACCAACCTAAGCTGGCAGCTCCTTAGGTGGTACCATCCTTACCTGCTTGATGATGACTGAGATTCCTTTACAAAGAAGTCTTTTGTGAAAGGCTTAAATATACAAACCTCTGGAAGAAGATGCACACTACCATAAACACCCAGGCTAAGGTGCAAATAATTGATTTAGGATCCATCTCAGTGAGCAGGTTTGGATAAGGAGCAGAACTAAGGCACCAGAAGAAATGAGATATGGAAGATGGATAAAAGGGTATCAAGACACTGCGGGTAAACCTGAGAAACCTTCCGAATTTTCTGAACAGGGGCTCCACCCCTGCAATGGCTATGCTGAATGGAAAGGGTGGCAGAGATATACAGTCCTTGTCTCCCCTGCCTGCTCGCCAGGGAACTGCCCCCTGGAGAAGGTGAGGACCCATCCTAGCCTCAACATGGCAGCAAAGCATTTCCAGGCTAGGGAAAAATGGTTCTGTCTCTTTTCATTTCTTTATTCAAAAGGGAAAAAGTAAGGCCAGCCCGTGGCTCACTCGGGAGAGTGCGGTGCTGATAACACCAAGGCCACGGGTTTGGATCCCATATAGGGATGGCTGGTTTGCTCACTGGCTGAGTGTGGTGCTGACAAGACCAAGCCAAGGGTTGAGATCCCCTTACCGGTCACCTTTTTTTAAAAAACTCACTGGCTGAGCGTGGTGCTGACAAGACCAAGCCAAGGGTTGAGATCCCCTTACCGGTCACCTTTTTTTTTTTTTAAAAAAAGGGAAAAAGTAACTCAGGTTACTACAGTCCCAAAGAATCTGCATGCTAATTTTC